TAAAAACAAAACATCAACAACTTTCCAACAAGATTCTGAGTTCAATCACACACACACACACACACACACACACACACACACACACACACCCTCTTTCCAGCCTTGGTGAAACCTGACAAACCAGGTTTTAGGTATTTTGTCTCAACAGCAAGAAAAACATAACTAACACAATGCCTATAATTCTAGCACTCAGGGAGACTGAGGCAGAAGTATTACAAGTCTGAGTCCTGCCTGGGCAACTTAGCAAGACTGACTCAAAATAATGAGTGAGTGAATGAATGACCGAATGAATAAATGGAGTTGTAGCTCAATGCAAAGGCCTTGGCCTCAGTCACCAGTACCACACACAAAACAAAGTCAATAAAACTGGAAGATCTTTAGTTGGTTTGACAAAGAAGACAAATAAACAAAATCAATGTGAGAGGGGATATAACTCAACTATATAGAATGTAAAAGGGTCAAAGGAATATAATAACTTTAGCTAAGAAGTGAATGAATAAATTCCCAGAAAGACACACATTACCAAATTTACTCAAACAGCAATTAAAGAACCAAACCCATAAGTTTAAATTAGTTAATTTTTAAAAAATCTTCCAATAAAAAAAAAGCCCAAGCAGAGATGTGCTAGTAAATTCTGTCAAATATTTAGATTCTAGTAAATTTCAGCAAGTATTTCAGAAAATTCTTTCAGAAAACCAATGAAGGAACACTTTACAGTTGATTCTGTAAAACAGTGCTAGCTTGATATCAAAACCAGACAAAAGCTCTACAAGGAAAGAAGTATGTATGTAAATGATTAAGGAAATTACATATATTTCCAACTACATATACCTTCCAGAAAAATTAGAACCAATACATGATTTAGCAAGATCAATAGATACAAGGTTAGTATACAAAATTCATTGTATTTCTATATATACTTAAAGATTTAAAAGAGAAATTATACCAACCCCATAAATTCTTTCTGAAAAGAGAGGGAACAGTTCCTAACTAATTCTTTGAGGCTAGTATTATCTTTGTACCAAAGTCAGACATCATAAAAAAAGAGTACAGACCAGTATACTTCTTGAAATTAGACCCACCAAAGTCAGACTTCATAAAAAAAGAAGTACAGACCAGTATACTTCTTGAAATTAGACCCCAAAACTAAATTACTAGCAAACCAAATCTAACAACATAAAAGATTACTCATCCTGAGCAAGCTTATCTCAGAAATGCACAGCTGGGGCTGGGGATTTAGCGCAGTGGTTCTGCCACCTGCCTCGAAAGCACAAGGTCCCGAGTTCAATCCTTGATACCAAAAAAAAAAAAAAAAGAAATGCACAGTTGGTTTAACTGTAGAAAAAAAAAAAGTTAACACATCATAACATTAGAATAAAAGAGGTCCGGGATTTAGCTCAGTGGTGCCACTCCTGCCTCATGAGCACAAGCAAGGTCCTGAGTTCAATCCCTGGTTACCAAAAAAAGATTAAAATGGCATCTTAACAGAAACAGAAAAAAAAACATTTGACAAAATCTAATACCAATTCATGATAAAAATGCTCAACATAATAGAAATAAAAGGTAACTTCATTCAACTTCACAAAGGGCATCTACAAAAAACTTACACCTAACATATTTAAAGGGAAAAGACTGAATTTTTCCCCCCACAATCAAGCACAAGGTAATGATGTCCATTCTTGCTACTTCATACTGTTCTAACTAGTGCAAAGACAAAGGCATTCAAACTGGAGAAGAAATAAACCTGAGTTCATTCACAAAGAAAATGATAGAGGAAATTTTAAGAAATTTATTTTATACCCTCCCCCATGAAAGATACACTATCTTCTAGAACTGATAAATGAGCTAAGGAAGGTCACAGTATACAAGATCAATTTGTAAAATGTGGCTTTTATAAGTGCATTATTCAGCCATAACAAAGAACTACTGACATGCAACAGTTTTGATGAAACCTGACAGAAGCCAGATACAAAAGCACACGTATTACATTATTTGACTCACATGAAATGTCCAGAAGAGCAATTCTATAGAGACAGAAAGTAGATTGATGGTGTCTAGGAGCTAAGCAGAGAGAAGAATGATTACTAATGGAAACATGATTTATCTTTGCAAGGTTCTGAAAATAGTCTAGAAATAGATAGTGGTAATAGTTGCAAAATTAAAAAAACATTGAATTAGACATTTTAAAAGAATGATTTTTTTTTTTTTTTGAGGCAAGGTCTCACTATGTAGTTGAGACTGACCTGGAACTCACTATGTAGCCCAGGCTGGTCTCAAACTCACAGTGATCCTCCTGCCTCAGCCTCCCGAGTGCTGGGATTATAGGTGTGCACCACCATGCCTGGCTTAAAAGAATGAATTTCATAGTAGATGAGTTATATATAAATGCTCCTCATGAGGATGAGGCAGGGGGATCACAAATTTAAGGCCAGCCTAGGAAAATTAGAAGACCTGGTCTCAAAATAAAATATATAAGGCATAGGAATGTTGCTCAGTGTGAAGGCTGTAGATTCAATACCCAGTACAAGACAAACACATACAAGAAAACCTTTTGTGTTTTTATACCTTGGCAGTGAACAATCCAAGGTAGGGTGGCACACCAGAGGAGCATCACAGAGGAGAAACAGTCCACGGTAGGCATAAGGCAGCAAAGTAGCAAAGAATCATCAAGCCACACCAGCAGCCTTGTTTCTTTCCCTTATATTCTATTCAGGCTCAATGCCCTTATAGCAGCTAGCACTCACACCCTGGGCAGGCCTTCCCATTGTACACATCCAGAACTATGCCAAACCAATCAATGGAGTAATTTAGTAATCACACACCCTTAATCCTGGCATCACACATTCTAGATCCAGCCACCTCTGAAAAGCCCCACCTATGGCTGCATGAGACTTTAGGGAGACATAGACACAAGCCATAACACATAATGATAAAAATAAGGTCTGTAGTTTCCTGGCATGGGGAGTTTTGAGAGATTTTAATGCAAAGGGGTGTATGGAGAAATGCTCTCCATCTGGAAGGAAATGATGGTCACTTGGGTGAATAAGTCTTTCAAATATTACTGTGCTATTCACTTAAAATGTCCGCATTTTAATGCATGTAAATTATGCCTCAACACAACTGATTCAAATTTTTAAACTTCAGAATTGAAATACAAAATGACACCCTTTAAAATCATTGGAGATTTTAAGACAAAGTAGGTAGAGATTTTAAGAACAGGCGGATAGATATGAAGAGTCAATTAAAATCTTCGGAATAGCCAGGATTTAGTTCAGCAGCATGGGCACCTGCCTGGTAACGCAAGGTCCTGAGTTCCATCCTGGTATGGGGAAAACACACACACAGACACACATACACACAATTGGGGCCAGGGATTTAGCTCAGAGTTTCTGTCACCTGCCTCGCAAGTAAAAAGTCTGGTACCAAAAACAATAACAACAAAAAACAAAACAAAAAAACCTTGGGAATAAATAGCATTTGAATATCTCAACAGATAAAGTAGACCCAGTAAAACAAAATAGTGAATTAATCATTTAGCTCAGTGGTGTTGTGCCTGAGTCACAAGTCAAGGTCCTGAGTTCAATCCCTGGTACAGAAAGAAGGGAAGGGGAGGAGAGAAAATCACCTAGAACTGAGAATTTAAAGCGTAGTTAGGAGACATGGAAAATGGATCAGGACACAGTGATATAAATATAAACAAAAGTTTTATAAAGAGAATGAGAGTAGTAATGTTCCAAGGAATATATATTATATCACATATGACATGTTCAAAAGATATCAAGTGGAGTGTAGAATATTTTTTGAAAACATTCCCAGATAGATAAACTTCTACTTGGTAGAGGTGGACTTTCATTCTTACAGTGAAAAATACATAGTTCTCATACTTAAAAAAGTTATAACTTTTCTTTTGGTGCAATGTAGAAGAATATATAAATATAGCTACAGTAGAGGATTAGTAGGGAATCAGAAAACATGATAACATGATCAGATCTGCTGATCTGATCTGATTTTTTTGTGGATTGAACCCAGGACTGTTGCACTAAACTACATCTCTAGCCCCTCCTTAACCCTCTTTTTTTCTTTCTTTCTTTTTTTTGGGGGGGGTACTGGGGATCCTTACCCATCTTTTTGAGACAGGTCTTGCTAAGTTGTGAAATTTGTCCACACTGGGCTTGAACTTGTGATCCTCCTGCCTCAGCCTTCCAAGAGTGCTGGGAGTAGGCCCGGGATTTAGCTCATTGGTGTTGCTGTTTGCCTTGCAAGCACAAGTACCTGAGTTCAATCCCTGGTACCAAAAACAAACAAACAAACTAAGTGCTGGGATTACAGGTGTGCAGTAGCACACTCCACTCAGATTCACATTTTATAGCTACCCCTCTGACTGCTCTTAAAGGATAGATTACATGAGGCAAGGTTTTAATATAAACTGTCAAATGGAAATGCAGACTGCATAGTAATATATACAGGACTGTCTGACTTCTACTCAGAAAAAAAAAAAGAATACTGGAACCAAACACCTGTACTGAAATTAGCAATTGGCACAGTGGCATGCAACTACACTCAGGAAGTTAAGGCAGGAAGACTGTTGGAGCTCAGGAGTCTGGGGCCAGCCTGGGCAACAGAGCAAGCCCTTGTCTCTTATTTATTTATAAATTTAAAAAAACAAAACATTAACTTTGCTGAAAGTATAGGTAATTTTAATTTTTATACTTTTCTATATTTTTCAGAATCCTTACAATAAACATAGTTTATGATGAGGAAAATGTCACTTTATTAAAAATAGATTATTTCTGTAAATTTTCTTTAAATAAGAATAGACCATTTGAATTCTTTGAGATCTGAAATTTCCCTTAATTTAACTTTTCTTTCATGTAGAGACAACATTGTCTCAAATGGACTAACATTTAAAACAAAGCAAAACCTGATTGCTTTCAACCTTTATTGGTTGCCAGAGGTTGAAGTTCACCTAAATATTTTGGTGGGGGGAAATTTTCTTCTAGGAACTTGACCAAAGTGCCACTGAGAACGTCCAGGCGATGTTCACAGCCATTGATGAGGTCCTGTATGAGCGAAAGCTGAGTGTGCACACGAGGAGTCTCCATGACGAGTGCCAACAGTGGACATCCAGCTTTCCCCACCTCAGGTACAAAGCCCACTGTTGACTTGTGCTCATGGTGAAGACAAACATTTTAGAAGTGGATTTCCAAAAAAAGCTTATATTTTGACATTTTTATGGGTATGATTTTAATAAACATAAGTAAAGTCACATGGTATAGGCCTCAGCTGAGAAGATATCAGGTGGTGGAAATTTCTTGAAGTATTTATCCATAACCACCAAATATGTCATCCTAACTGAGTAAAACTGTTTCTGTACCAATAACAGGTGTGGGTATCAGGGATGTCCAAAGAGCCCCTCTTTTGTTGTTGGGTTTTTTGTTTTGTTTTGTTTTGCTTTGTTTTTTAAAACAAGGTCTTGCTATGCAGTTCAGGCTGGCCTCAAACTTGTGGTAGTCCCCCTGCCTCAGCCTCCCAATTTCTGGCATTACAGGTGCATGCCACCATCCCTGGCAAGAGCCCTTCTTTTGATCAGGATGGTCAGAAAATATATTTATGACATTGTTGTCTAAATTCTTAGGTATATTTGAAAGCAGACACAGCTATTAGGAGCCTCTCTCAGAAGCCACAATAGTACACTCACTGCACATAATTAAAATGCATAAAGCTTCATGTTTTAAGAGTAATTCATAGCTGTCACTGATTTGGCTGGGCTTTTATCCTATTATGGCTGATTTAATGCTGATTATTAGACAAGATGAAGAGCAAATTACAAATGTTTGCTCAGCTTCCTTGTTTTATTATTTTTTTTAAACTTCCAAGCTATCAGTTTTCTTTCCATCTCTATTCTTTTGAAGATATACCTATAATAAGGCCATTTCCTTTCAAGAATAATTCCTACTGCTTTTTTTTTTTTTTTTTTTGCAATAACAGAAATTGAACTCAGAACCTGTGCTTGCCAGGCAGGCACAGAGCCACTCAGCTACATCCCTGGCCCTCAAGAATAATTTTTAATCAGTGTTGGACTTGTGTATATTGGACTTCTATGTAGAACCATCAGACTTGTCCCAAAAATGCCTAGATTTTGTATGTATGCCAAGGGAAAGTGCTTAATTGTCCGTTTTTTTGTTTGTTTGTTTTTCATTTTGAAGGATTCTGGGTAGGCAGATAATTACTCCAAGTGAAGGTTATGAATTATATCCTAGATACCCTTCTGGTGTTTCAATTTCACATGAAGCAGTCCTGTCTCAAGAAAGAGATTTTATTATGTAAGTATTCTGTTATGTGTTTCATTATCTTAGTATATAAGTATTACATTCTGCCTACTGAACTAAGGAATTAATAAACTTCCTTCTGCTTACTGGTAAAGCACAGAAAATGCTATCGGATTGATAATAGTCTTTGTGTATATTAAGATTTTTGTTATATAATTTTTTTTGTTCAAAAGTTAATATATTTCCTGGATAGCTGGGCATGGTGGCACACACCTGTAATCCCAGCACTTGGGAGGCTGAGGCAGGAGGATCGCTGTGAGTTTGAGACCAGCCTGGGCTACATAGTGAGTTCCAGGTCAGTCTCAACTACATAGTGAGACCCTGTCTCAAAAAACAAAAAAAACAAAAAACAAACAAAAGTTAATGTATTTCCTGGAAATTAAAGATAGTTTCGTTATTCAGAACTAACTCTTCTGGGGCTGGGGATTTAGCTCAGTGGTTCGGTGGCTGCCTTGCAAGCACAGAACCTGAGTTCAATCCCCAGTACAAAAAAAAAAAAAAAGAACTATCTCTTCCTATCTATCCATCCCTACATCTACCTATACTTATAAATATAGGTACTTCTCTCTTGTCATAAATGTGTAGACAAAACGGTTTTTTTTATATTTTTAATAGTCTAAGAAACAGACTTAATTTTCTTAATGTTAAAAATGATGTTTTAAAAAATACATGATGCTGATTATAACATTAATCTCTTAACAGAATTAAATCTCCAAATAATTTTTGGTTTTTTTTGTTGTTTTTGAGATAGAAGCTCACTGTGTAGTTCAGACTGGTCTTGAACCCACTACATAACCCAGGCTGGCCTCAAACTCACAGTAATCCCCCTGCCTCAGTCTCCCAAGTGCTGGGCTTATAGGCATGTGCCACCATGCCCGGCTCAAATAAATTTTTTTTTTCATACCAGGGATTGAACTCAGGACCTTGTGCCTTCAAGGCAGGCATGGTGCCACTGAGCTAAATCCCTGGCCCTTTCAAAATAATGTTTGAATGGCTAAATCTTTTGAATGCCTCAAACTCTTTTAACAGTGGCAATATCCAAGTATTATTTCTAAACCTATGCTTATATTTAAATCTATAATATTATATATAATACAACTATAATATATAATACATTATATACTGTATACTATAAATTATACAATTTATATTACATTTTATTTTAATTTAATTTTAATAGTATACTTTAATTCATTTTAAAAATTATTCCCATACTTTTTGAGAAGGCTGTAGTTTTACTTGATACCTCCCAAGAGTTGTAGTAACAGAACTTAATTTTGGTCCCTTTTGAGCTTTCAATAATCTCACCAGACTACAAAAGTAACACATGACCATTTTAGGCCAGTCAGTTAGGGGATCTACATTGTCAACTAATTTTTGTCCAGAGAATTGGATTTGTTTTTCTTAAGCTGATTTAAACTCAAGTTTGTAGCTTTTTTTTTCAATTTAAACTTCATGTATGATATCAATAGGGCTTTTAAAATTTATTCTTTAACATAAACTTTTTACAACCTGTCACCCATAGAAATGATTCTTCAATTTCTTCTGAATTAAATTATATAACTCATATCTTGTCATTAGGATATATTTTCCTCATCTGTTAGTATAAACTATATTGTGAGCCTTATTTTATAACAATAAGAAGTAGGTCCATTTAGAAATTTTACTTCCACAGAAATAAAAGCTCAAATCTGAGCAGTCAGCTTTTTCTCTTTAGGACATCTGGCTAACTTCATTCTGTAGCATACTACTAACACCCTTTCTTTCCTTTTTCCTTCCTGCCTCCACTGCTGATGGGTCTTTTTAATTTGGTATCTACTTTTTCTACAGATTTGACTTCAATTCTCAATAGCTACTCACATAGAAAAAATAAATACCTATGTGTAGACCATATACATAGACATATACGAAGACAAAAAGTTATCCAGCTATGTTACCATACCGCTACTTAAAGCAATAAAAATTAAACATAACCCATTTTCACTCCTTTCATGTAGTAACTGTTGTGTCCATATTTGATATTTACTCTCTTGAGTACCATTATGAACTCATAGCATCTCAAATACTAAAATATTTAACCATAATTGGTTTTAATGCTCTAATTTGCTACCACTTGGCCACTTCAAGCTAGTACCTTTGTCTTTATTTTGATTATCTCTTTGGTTTCTGATTACAGTAAGATATTCCAGGCCCATCCTTATTTTGTTTTGTTTTGTTTTTTCTCCTTTAAGACATAGAATCAGCTGAACTTCAAGGAGCCCTGATTTCTTTGAGAGGCAAACAGTATTGAAGAACAAAATTTGGGTTGTATGGCCAGGGGATGCAGCTCAGTGGTGCAGCACCTGCCTCACAAGCACGAGGTCCTGAGTTTGATCCCCGGTTTAAAAAAAAAAATGGGGGTAGTGAGGGTATAAGTTGGAGGTATAGATAAGGTTGCCATAAATATGAGGTTTATCGACCACTAAGATTTCTACAAAAATAACATTTCAAATTATATTCCTTTTTTCATATCACATAAGAATTTTTAGAAATTCAGGGTAAATTCTTCTGTTTCTCACTTAAAACTTTGAAAAGCTTCCCACTGAATTGAAGATAAAATCTAAAATCATATCATAAGATAGCCCTTGTCTACTTCTCTAATTTTATCTTCTGTAACTTTCTTCCTCTCACTGAGTAATCTTAACCAACACTGGTTTTCTTTTGTGTCTCAAGTGTATTCTACTAGGTGTCTGGTTCAGTTTCTGTTATCAAGGAACCCCCAGGACAACAATATAGTATCTTACTTTTTGTATCTCTGAAACTGAGCACAGTGTCTCAAACCAGTAGCATTAACTTTCTTTCTTCCTTTTTCTTTCTCTTTTTTTTCTTTTATTAAATAAAGACCGTATTCATGATAACAAAATATACAAAATTAACTAATGTAAAAATTGAAATTATGGCTGCAAAACAGAGCAATTAAAACAAACAGTGTTAAGGTCGAAATGAAATTTCAGGAAGTTAAAACATTAGAAGATGGTGGCAGCATACAGGGATACATAAGTGTAAAAGGGACTCTGAAAAATGAGTTTGAGGACATTTCCACTTAAAAAAAGAAACCATGCAGGCCGGGGATTTAGCTCCATGGTTCCACCACCTGCCTCGCAAGCACAAGGTCCCGAGTTTGATCCCCAGTACCAAAAAAAAAAAAGACCATGCATTCTGCTCCTTCAAGTTAGTTTATCTATCTTAACTAGTTTATCTTAGTTAAAATAAATATTTCAACGAAAAAACTAACTGTAAGAGTCAACAAAAACCCACTAAAGTGTGATTATATACATAATTACAACCCCTTTAAAAATCATTAAAAGAATAGAGTCCATGGGGCTGGGGATTTAGCTCAGCGCTTTGGTGGCCTGCCTTGCAAGCGCAAAGACCCGAATTCAATTCCCGGTACCAAAAAAAAAAAAAAAAGAATAGAGTCCAGAAATAAACATATGGTTAAATGATTTTTTACAAAAATGCTGAGACTACATAATAAAGGGCAGTCTCTTCTACAAATGATGGGGAAAACTGGACATACACACTCAAAAGAATGAAGTTGGACCTTCATCTTCTACCATATAAAATTATTAACTCAAATTAAAAACCTAAACATAAGACCCACAATTAAACAACTTCTATAATAAAACATAAGTGAGACGCTTTAGGACATTGAATTTGACAGTAATATATTGGACATAACAGTAAAAGCACAAGCAACAAAAGCAAAAACAGACAAATGGGACTATATCAAACAAATACTTCTGTGTATCAAAGAAAGAATAAAAAATATGAAAAGGCAATACATTCAATGGGGGAAATTATTTGTCAAACGTATGTTTAATAAGGGGTTATATAAGTAATTTCTACAACTCAACAAGAACAAAAAGAAGTAACCACACTGAACAGTTGACAAAGTACTTGAAAGGATAATTAACCAATGATATGCAAATAGCCATGACACTCATATAAAGACACACACTATTGTTATCATAAAAGAAATCAAAACCACGTGAGGTCACACTGCATATCCATTGGACAGACACTACCAAAGAAACAGCAAATAAACATTGGCAAGGAGGCAGAGAAACTGGAACCCTTGGGCTGTCCTTGATAGGCAGATGAAATTATACACATATTACAGAAAACAATGTGGAGACCCCTAAAAAGATTACAACAGTAATTGCCATATGACCCACAATCCCTCCTGTGGGTATATATCCAAAAGAATTGAAAGCCAGATCTCAAATAGACTCTTGCACACTTGTGTTCACTGCAACACCATTCATAACAGGCAGGAGGTAGAGACAATCTAAATGTATACTGACAGGGACCAGGAATTTAGCTCAGTGGCACTGTACCTGCCTTACAAGCACAAGGTCATGAGTTCAATCCCTGATACCAAAAAAAAAAAAAAAAATTGTACAGATGAATGGATGTTTACACATGTGATATAAATATATGAATATTGTGCAACCTTATGAAAGAAAGAAATTTTGCCCCATGCTACAACATGGATGAACCTCAAAGACATTATTCTAAGTGAAATAAGCAGTCACAAAATGAAAAATACTGTGATTGCTCTCACATGAAGTATCTGAAGCAGAAATCAGAGCAACACAAAGTAGAAGACAGTTGTCAAGGGCTGGAGGGGAGAGGAAAAACGGGAGAGTTTCAGTTTGGCAAGATGAGTTATAGAAATCTGCTGCACACAGCGTGACTCTGCTTAACGCTAATGAACCATACACTTAAAGATGATAAATCTAATGTTGTGGGGGTTTTTTGTTTTTTTCTGGTACTGGAGATCGAACTCAGGACCTTGCACATGTGAGGCGGGCTCAGTGCTACTGAGCTAAATCACTGGTCCCTTGTGGGTTTTTTTTTTTAACCTCAAAACCAGTTATTAAAGTGATATAGTGTAGCAGCTGTTTGTCCTAAAGTCTGCTCCCTTATGTTACTCGTTACAAATTGCAAAGATTTCCCTTTCATTTGCTTTGATTTTCTATCTTACAGCTATCCTAAATGCAAGTTAGTGAAGCTAATTACAAATCAATTTCTTTTTAGATGCAGAGCTTTCTGAAACTCTCCAAAGCCAGGGAAATAATCTCTTTCAGTTCTTCTGGGTAGAGCTATGAACAATCATATTTCCTTGCCAGGGTTATGTTTTCTTTCTTTTGGCATTATGAGATCACACCTTCATGTAATTCTCTTAACTTTGGTCATCTCCAGAGTCTACTGGGAGATAAGGTGGGTCCAAAATGGAGCTGAGCAGCCATCTGTGCTTTTCAGATGTTAGGCAGGAAGGAGGGCTTTTGGCTATTTGATCCAACCACTCTGGAAGGCAGACAAACTCACTCTCTTAAAGCCTTGCAAGGGCTAATTCTAAATTTAACTCTGTATAAATAAGAAACCTAGCAAAAGCTGGGTGTGGTGGTACATGCCTATAATCCTAGCATTCTGGAGGCCAAGGCAGGAGGATCTCCCCCAGTTCAAGGCCAGCCTGGGCAACATTGTGAATTCAGGACCAGCCTAAACCACATAGCAAGACCCTATCAAAAAACAAACACATTATCAAACTAGCAAAATCATTTTATCCTCCACACATGAGGGAGAATAAAGGGTCATTGATTTTTTTCTCACAAGTAAATAATCTCAATGTAAACATTACTACCAGGATGACACAGTATTGGGTAAGACTACTGTTATTTTATTAAAAGCTGAATTACAGGGGCCCGGGGTTTAGCTCAATATTTTGTGCCTGCCTTGCAAGCACAACGTCCTGAGTTCAATCTCCAATACCCCCCCACAAGCAATAATTATAGACTTTTAGAAGTTAACAGTTATTTTCCAGGCTTGATAATTTTTAATCTGATGATTTCAAAGATTCTTTTGTTACAAGTAACATTTACAAGACAAGTTTATGATACAGAATTCTATCTTGCTTTTTGTTGCACCTTTAGAGGAAATGGAAACGTTTTTTCTTTAGCCAGAATTTCTTTTAGTAGCAGTTAGACCTAGAATTGGATAGAAACGTCTATTTTTTTTTTCAAAACAAAAAATTACATTAGTTACCACTGACTAAAAAATGAACAGCTTTTAAAATAAATGGAATAATACAATAGCACAATAACATGGAATGTTGAGTAATCAGTGTCGACAGCCTTTAATTTTGTCATGCTGCTATAAAAAAACCCTAATATCACTATTTTATAGAAGAAAAGAACACAAAAAAGAATGATGTACATAACCTCAAAATAAGGACTATCATTTTGAAGAAAAGATACTTGGTAGTCGAACTGGCTATTGTCTTTATTTTGCTTATTTGGGATAGTTAAGTAAAGTTTTTGCCATAGATTGGCATAAATCTGTTGACTACAATTTGAAAACCACTGTTTTTTAATTTCAAAACAGATTTAAACCATCTTAAGTCTCAAATTTAAAGACGTATAAACACTAAAACAAGCTGGTTGGTTCTCCAAACTTTCTCTTATCCCTTACCCTCTCTCCATTTCTGTGCCTCCTGCTATTGTCCAGGCTCTTATCAGCTTACCAGCCCTGCCACATCTTCTGCAGTAGACTCTTAACTCCATTATCCTCTCAGACCTTGGCATCCCCTCTTATGGTTTAGATCTAAAATATGCACCAAAGCCTCTGCTGATGAGTTCATAGCTGACTTGCTGTTAGAAAGTGGGGCCTAATTAGACATGGGTCACAGGGGAAGTGACCTGGAAAGGCAGCACTCATTCTCCCCCTTCATTTCCTCTCTTCTCTCTCTGCTTCTTGGATGCCATGGACTGAGCACTTTCCCCTCTGCTCTGCCCCTTTGCCATCCTGTTTCCCCCTTGGAGCCTGACCACCATGGACTGAAACCATGGGCCCAAATAAACTATTCTTCCTTAACTTCCAGCTGTAGGGTATTGTGTCCAGTGACAGAAAAGTGACTAAGACACTCCCCTTCTTGGAAACTTTACTTTCCATTGCTACAAAGTAGCCAAATTAATACACAAAGCCTCACCACACTGTGAACTCTATGTTCTATTTAATGGCTTAAAAAGTTAATTTCTCGGCCCGGGATTTAGCTTAGTGTTCTGCCGCCTGCCTTGCAAGCGCAAGGTCCCGAGTTCAATCCCCAGGACCAAAAAAAAAAAATTAATTTCTCTTTGTGGAAAAGAAGTCTGGATGAAGGCAATATAAAGATAATACAGTGATAGCATGGTGGTTTTAAGGACCTCCTGCTTTCATCTTTTTGCTGCACCATCCTAGCCCACAGTGTTTTCCACGAGGTTTTCTTTCTAGTCCAGCATAGGTGACAGCTCCAAACATAATTCTTACTTTCCAGGTACCAGAAAGAAGGAAAAGGAGAACTGCAAAAGGCACCCCTTGTAGCTAAGCAGTTCCCCTTAAACAGCCTTTCCAGAGTCTCACGTACTAATCACGCTCATATTTCACTGACTAGATCTGGGGCTGCAGGGTAGCTGAGAAATGTAGTCTTTGAGGGTACATTGCCTGCCTGAATTAAATCAGAATAATTTTACCAAGAAAAGAAGAATGTATATTGAGGGGTATCAAGCATTATCTGATACATATGTATATAGTTTTTCTTAAAATACTATATACATTTTGTAATTTTTTGATGCTTAACAATTTACTATGAACATCTTCCATTTTCTTCAACATTAACTTAATGATTTCATAGTTTATGCATATATAAATATTTTGTTTGGTTTGGTTGGTTGGTTGTTTTTTTTGAGACAGGGTCTAACTATGTAGTTGAGACTGACCTGGAACTCACTATGTAGCCCAGGCTGGTCTCGAATTCACAGCGATCCTCCTGCCTCAGCCTCCTGAATGCTGGGTTTACAGGCGTGCACCACCACACCCAGCTATATCAATATTTAAACCCCCATCCTCGAATCCTGTATTTTGAAACTAGGGTAGTTTTGATTTTTTTTTTTGATAGTTGTAAACAAATGCATAATTCTGTAATAGTTTTTTCTTTTGTTTTGTTGGTTCTGAAGGTTGAACCCAGGGCTTTGAGCATGCTGAGTATGTACTCTCTCTCATCCTCATGATGATAATTCTTATAAATAAATTTTATCAGTTATATTCTTAAAGGATATTCTTACAGATGAAACCACTGAATCAAAGGGTATGTTTAAGTCTCCTAATACATAATTCCAAAATGTCTTCCAAAAGATTTTCCCACCAGCCTTGTTGAAAAGTGCCACAGATTTATTCTTTCTTTTTTCTAGAAAAAAATGTATCTAAGGCACACACACACACAAATAAAAAGTAATACAAAGCATAAATTGGTTATATTAAATAGTTGGTTAAACTGAGAGCCATTTAAAAAATTTGTATTGCTCACATGTGATTGACTTTCTCCAAAGTAAACTTGCTCAAATTCAGAAAGAGTCATCACATATTACTGAATGTCTGGGTATATAAGAGAAATTTTAATATTAAGACCTCTCCCTTTGAAGAACATTCATTTTGAACAATGATGACATACCCTCTGAAGGTACCTTCAAAATGTAATTATGAATGTAAATATTCTTCATTTTTAAAGAGCAGACAGCTGTAGCTATTTGTGTCTGAGAAGACAGCAAGCCATTTAGACAATGCACACAGTACGTCTAAGCCAAACAGGTTTATGGCCAATGTTTAGTCTTCCTGTTTTGAGAAATACTAGGCTATTACAGCCTAGACTAGCCTAGGAGGGTGCTGCAGGGCAAGGGGTTTTGAGCCAAAGGTCACATGGTCACTGCTGTGAGAACTGTTTAGACTGTACACAATTAACATTCGCCTTTTTCTCTCAGATATGGTATAAGGGGGAAAAGGTTACAGTTTTCATCTTCTTATGCTGATAAAGCATCTTCTATTGCCAAATCCCCTGGCTTATGTGCTATGGAAACAGAAAAGGAAGATTGTATAATCTTCTCAGAAGGAATAATCGAGGAATACCTAGCTTTTGACCACACAGATATGTAAGTATTGTTCTTTAAGCTTTTTATTCCCTCTCCTATTTTGAATATTAATATCTACTTTTCTAAATTATGCTATCAGTATTACCTGTTATAGGTCTACACCAGTTTTTTATTTTCAGTTAGCTGAGATATCGAGAACATCATTTTGAACAATGATGACATACCCTCTGAAGGTACCTTAAAAATGCAATTACGAGCCAGCGTGGTGGCGCATGCCTGTAATCCCAGCACTCAGGAGGCTGAGGTAGGAGGGTGAGTTTGAGACCATCCTGGGCTACAAAGTGAGTTCCAGGTCAGTTTGAACTACGTAGTGAGACCCTTTCTCAAAAAAACAAAAACAACAACAAAAAAATGCAATTACGAATGTAAATATTCTCCACAGTTCATGTTCTTAGTTATTGTCTCCACATCCTAGGCATCCTTCTGTGTTTTCTTCCTTACACATCATTCTCCTCTTCCTGAGATCAGAGATTTTCAAATAAGCCAGTCTTTTCTTATGATTTGATTTTTACCCTTTTGCAAATTATTACCAGTGGAAATGCCAAAACTCTTTGAAAGAGCACTTGAAGAGGTGTGAATTTTTAAAATATAAATTGTTTGAAACAACTATATTCAATCCATATAAAACCTTATGCTTGGCAACTTTATAGTTAATGATGCTTATTTATATCTATTCTCATTATATTCTGACATGGTCCTATGACATGGATATTATTTACCTTCTTTACAGGATAGGTGGGAATCACAATGGTTAAATAATTAGAGGTAAAACTAAAACCAAAACCCTATCCATCTGACTCTAAATATACTTTCTCTTCGCTATTTAATGCTACTTTTCTGAAACATGAACTTTTTGTTTGTTTATTTGTTTGGTTTTTTTGAAGCAGAGTCTCCCTTTGTAGTTCAGGCTGGCCCTGAACTCTTTATGTAGCCCGAGCTAGCCTCAAACTCAGTTAGATCCTCCTGCCTCAGCCTCCTGAGTTCTGGGATTACCATGCCACCATGCCCAACTCTGAAACATGAACTTCTTAAACTGTTCCTCTATGTCTTTAAAAGTTTAGAATGGACAGTTATAGCAACACATCTGAAGTGAGTGAGAAATTTCATTTTAGGCTGCAAGGCTGTGTAGTTAGTAGTGTATCACATGGTTCTGGACTTCCCTGTTTTTTTGTTTTTTTGTTTTTTGAGGCAGGGTCTCACTATGTAGTTGAGACTGACCTGGAACTCACTATGTATGTAGCCCAGGCTGGTCTCGAACTCACAGCAATCCTCCTGCCTCAGCCTCCCGAGTGCTGGGATTACAGGTGTGCGCCACCACGCCCGGCTCCCTTCTTCCCTCTGTATTTCCCACTGAGCTATGATCACATGTGTGTTTACTCATGTGCACCACAGCCAGAGAGCCAGCTAACAGGAGGCAGATTTCTAAACATAACACCACTGAGCTAATTCAGTTACAAGAAACTCCTAAGTAAATTCTTCTTGGTTTTTCAGAGAATGTTCCCTACCCCCTCACTTCTCCTGGCTTGTGTCAACTTATTTCTGTCTTTTTTTCCTCAAAAGTCTTTTCCTTTGCCTTAAGCTTATAAGAAAAAAGTTGGGGTCTGGGGATTTAGCTCAGTGGCGCTGCGCCTGCCTTGCAAGTGTAAGGTCCTGAGTTGATCCCCAGTACTGCAAAAACAAAACAAAAAGTTGATTTAACTAATTTAATTAATTTAAGATGTGATATAAATGGCTGGTAAGTGTCCCTAGAGCATCCCTTTTCTTCTTTCTGGTAGAAACCCAAATAAATTTTGAGATAAGATAAAGATTTTAGGAAGGTAGCCTTTTTGAAATATACTACTGCTGGGTGTGGTGGTGAGTATGCCCATAATTCCAGCACTGAGGAAGCTGAGGCAGGAGGATTGCCATGAGTTTGAGGCCAACTTGGGCTAAATAGTGAGTATAAGGCCAGCCTGAACCACACAGCAAGACCCTGACTCTAAACAGACAAACAAACTGTAGTAGAGTAGCTAGACTTTTAGAATGTCTAATTAACAAGATTGAAGGTCAAGAAATAAACCCCTGTTGGAAATTAGTATATACAATAATTTCAGCAAATTGTTTTGGTAAAAAATGGAAAAAACACCTGGAAAAATGAGGTATATAACTGCTGTTTTATATTAAGGTTTACTCTCCATAAAAAATAAATTTTACATATATTAAAAATGTATGGGCCAGGCATGGTGGCGCACACCTGTAATCCCAGCACTCAGGAGGCTGAGGCAGAAGGATTGCTGAGAGTTCGAGACCAGCCTGGGCTACATAGTGAGTTCCAGGTCAGTCTCAACTATACAGTGAGACCCTGTCTCAAAAAACCAAAAAAAAAAAAAAAGTATGACAATTTATGTAATTTTAGAAAAACTAAAATATATTTAAACATAAGCTAAGTATCAACAAGTGTGTAAAAGGTTGTAGGGGAACCAGAGAAGAGGGGAGGGATAGGGAAGGGAAAGGGATTAGAAAAAAAAAGTGTAGTATGGCCTTGTAACTACTCCCCAAGATGACTGTAAATTGTGTGACTTGCAAATATGTACTAACAAAATAAAATTAAAATTAAAAAAAAAAATATATATATATATAAATTGATTTGAGAATTGGGAAGGCCTTTAAAACCGTAACACAAAACCTTTAATTCATATGCGAAATCCTAAAATGACTGCCTAAGATGAAATTTCTACATAGAAAAAAAACTCATAAGGTCGAAAAACAAATGACGAACTGGCAAAAATATCTGCACCAAGTTTATTTCCTTAATTCCCTATACATCAGTAGGAAAATACTAAGGACAAACATTCAAAGGACGTGAAGATTAAGTTCATATAAAAACAAAATAGATATAAACACATGAATTCAATCTCATTTACATTAGAGATGCACATTAAAACTATGATAACAGACTGCTATTAATTGGCAGACTGGCAGAGAACAAAAAATAAATTTTCTTAATTATGTAAACAGGCACATCCTTTCACCATTGGCCCTTTTTAGAGGAAGCGGGGCAATATCATTCAAATTGAAAAGCATATGCCTCTTAATAATTATAGGAATTTATCCTACATAAATCATGTATCACTCATGAAACCAAGAAACTAAAGTAAGTGCAATATTGACTACTGATCAATAAGGGACTTGATATAGTATACCCAGTGGAATACTGTAGCTATTTTTATTGGTATACTTTTTTTTTATTTTTGTTACCATGGATTGAACTTGGGATCTTGCACTTGGCGAGGCAGGCAGCAGCAGAACCACTGAGCTAATTCCCCAACCCTACTGTAGCTATTTTTAAGAGGCAGGTTAATATTGATAGAGATGACAGACTAAGATAAATTATTAAATAAAAGAACAAGGTGCATTATGGCATATGAGACAGGCAGCAGAACCACGAAGCTAAATCAGTGTACTTGTGGGGATGGAGAACAGGGAAAAGAGATGTAAGGGACTTCTTTTCCACCGTGTGTCCTTTTGATTTGAAATTTTTTTCCCATAAACATGAGTGTATTATCTCTTCTAGAAAGAAATATAAATTTAAATACAAATAATTCTATAGCTTACCCCTCCACTTAATGCCAGACTGACTCGGTAAGGCAGAGAAGAGAGTTTGTAGCTGCCCTGTATAAAATTCCTCACTCCCTTCTTTATGCTATGGTTTCCTATTTATTTCTTGAGACCTCTGCTGCTTCAGGGTAACTTTCACTGTAGGAGATAGTGTCTTCCTATCCCAAACCAATTCCAGAATATGATTTCTCAGTTCCTAATATACCTATGATAGGTGAATGTGTTCACCAGAGATGTTTCCTTCCCCTGAATCCCAGGGCTGTTGGTGCTCCCTGTGGGAGAAGCAGGCAGATTTGGCCAAGCAGAGGCTTCTGGTTACAAATGCAGTGTCTTAGAAGCTCCCTAGAGGAGCACCTGTGCTTTTAGCTCCTGATTGTTTTGCAGAGTAGTGGGGTGAGGTGGGGATAAAAAGGGAAATACAGTTTCCTCTGATGAGAGATCCTTTTTTCACAAGACAGCTTCATAATGGGCCACATGGGAGGAGAGTGGGCACCACTCACATTCCTAAGAAGCACAAAGGACAGTAGTGGACACTCAGTGAAAAATAATCATGAGGTCTTTCCCTCTTGCTTCTGTTCCAGGGAAGAGAGATTTCATGAAAAGAAGTCAGAAGCAGCTGCAGAGAAACAGAAGTTAGGGTACCCTCCCATTGCTCCATTTTACTGCATGAAAGAGGATGTCCTTGCTTATGTGTTTGACCAAGTGTGGAGCAAGGTTGTGGCCTGTTTGGAGCAGTTGACACGTAGTCACTGGGAGGGATCCGCTTCTGGTAAGGATCTTTGTGAAAATACTATCACAAATAATTGTTTATTGTTTCCATACCCTAACCAGTCTATTAGATTATATGCTTTATTAGTATAAACAGTGGGTATGAGAGATAGAAAAACCAAAGTGCTTTTTTCTACTCACACAGCACAATTCCAATGCCAGGTAAAAAGGGGCTTTTTCCCCTATACCAGATTTCCCTAGCGGACAGCAATTGGGTGTCCTCTGATGGAGTTCAATTCTGATTCAGTCTTCCTGGAGAGAGCATCAGGTCCCACAGGGTAAGGGCTAAGTCCCACAAGACTGCTCCACTTCACATGAGAGTTGGCAAGCCACAGACTTGTGACCTGTGCCTCTGACTGACAGCTATAAATCAGGATTCCTGTGACTTCCTCCTCAGGCTTGACTGATTTGCTAGGATGGTTCACAGAACTCAGGAAAACACTTAGGTTAACTGGTTTATTATAAAGAATATTGCAGTACTCAGGAGGCTGAGGCAAGGGGATCCCAAGTTCAAGACTAGCATTGGCAATTTAGTGAGATTCTGTCCTCAAATAAAATAAAAAAGGGTAGGGATATAGTTCAGTGGCAAAGTACTTGCCTAGCATGTGCAAAACCCTAATTTGGTCTCCAGCACTGCCAAAAAATAAAGGAAGGGAGAATATTACAAAGGATACAGGTGAATAGCCAGATGAAGAGGTACCCAGGGCAAAGTATGGGCGAAGGGGTATAGAGCCCTTCTGGATATGCTACCTTCCAGGTACCTCTTATGTTCAGCAACCTTGAAACTTTCTCTACTAGTCCTTTTGGGTTTTTATGGAAACTGTTAATAATAAAGCATATTTAATTAAATCATTGGCAACTGGTGGTCAACTCAACTTTCAGCCTCTCTCCCCCTAACAGAGGTCAGGGGCTATGGTAGGGCTGGAAATTACAAACCTAATAGTATAGTTGATTTCCCTTGGCAGTCAGTACCCTGGAAACTACGCAGGATTTTCCAACCACCAGTTACTAGCATACAAAAAGTTACATATCACTTTAGAAATTTCAAGGATTTTCAGAATTTCAAGCCAGAAACCAGGAGCAGAGTCCAAATTTATATTTATTATTATATCCCAACATCACACTAGGTCTGATTCATGTATTTCCCACAGAAACTAGCAAGTATTTAGTAAATACTTGAGAACGTGTGCATGAATAACAAGGCCTAGTCTGTGTTAATCAGACAGAGCTGGTACTTTCTTCCTTAGTATAATGACCTGTCAGGTAAAGGCACTTGCAAGTGGCATATATATTTTCAGGCTGCTGTGTTAAAGAGAACCTGACATACAATAAACCACATGTGTTTTAAGTATACAACTTGGTAAAATCTGTCCTATAAATACATCCAAGAAACCATCATCGCAATCAATAGTGAATATATCCATCACCCTCAAAAGTTCATGCCCTTTGTAATTCCTTTCCTGCCCTTATCCTCTCCCATCCTCATTGTTCTGCTGACCGAAAATAATGCAAGGCTGGGGATTTAGCTCAGTGGTTCCACCACCTGCCTTGCAAGCTCAAGGACCCAAGTTCAATCCCTGGTACCAAAAAAACAAACAAACAAAAAAAGAATCCAGACAAAACAAGTGGTTGGCTTTTGTCTTTACAGATTAGTTTGAAGTCTGTAGAGGTTTGTGTGACTGAAGTCTATAGAGGTTTGTGTGACTTGAATCATATGGTATGTACTCCTTTTGTACCTCTTTCATCCAGCATAATGATTTTGACATTCATCTATTTCATTGTGTCAATAATTTATTCCTTTTATTTCTAAGTAGTATTTTATTGTAACAGTTTATTCATCTGCTGACGGACACCTGAATTGTTTTCCATTTGGGGCTAATCTTTGTAAAGCTATTATGAAGAATAATGTACAGAACCGGGGATTTAGCTCAGTGGTTCTGCCACCTGCCTCACAAACACAAGGACCTGAGTTTGATCCCTGGAACCAAAAAAATTAAAAAAAAAAATTTTATAGGTTTTCCATATTGTTCGACAAATTATCACAAACAACAGCTTTAAACAACACATGCTTACTATCTCACATATTTTCAAGTCAGAAGTCCTGAAACAACTTTGCTAATTCTTTGTTGAGGATTTCACAAGACAGTGATTGAGGTAACAGGAGAGAGCTGAGTACTCATGTAGAATCTCGGCTAGGAAAGGATCCTCTGCTCCTTTTGAATTCTCAGAAGCATAAAATTCCTGAGCTGGGGATTTAGCTCATTTAGCTCAGACCACTGCCTGCCTCACAAGTACAATGTCCTGAGTTTGATCCCTCGTACCAAAAATAAAAAAGCGGCATAAAATTCCTTGCAGCTGTGTTATCCACAGCAGCCTTATTTTTCAAAGCGAACCAATCATAAATGAAATTAAGAAAATTACTTATTTAAACAGTATCAAAAAACAAGATATTTAACCAGGGAAGTGCAAGAGTTGTGCACTGTAGAAAGAAATTAGAGGAGACCTAAAGAAATCATAAAGAAATGGAAAGGTATCACGTTTGTGAATCAGAAGACATAAATGTTAAGATGACCATATTCCCCAAGTAGATTTGTAGGTTCAAAGTGATTTCACTCAAAAGTCCAACCACTGGGCTCTAGACACAGCTCAGTGTTAAGAGTACTTACCTATCATCTACTATGTGTGAGGCCTTGGGATCCATCTCCAGCACCACAAAAACAAAACAACTTTTTTGCAGAAATAGAAAAGCTGATCCTGAAATTCATATAGAATACAAGGGGCATGAGTAACCAATATTGAATGACAATATCATTAATATCAAATGATATTATTGTTATTGTTACTGAACTGAGTAACAATATTGAAAAACAAAATTTAGCAGACTCATACAGTTGGGGCAGAGCAGAACAGCTCAGTGCTATAGCCAAGTGTTACAGCTCAGTGTTGCAGCCACAGCTCTGAGGCACAGCTGAGCTTCACAGATCAGTGTGGCAGCTCTGCTCTTGTAATTTGAAGACTTGAGAATCCAATAGTCATTTGAAGAGGTGGAGAAAAAAACTATTTTACTGGAGAGGAGTCTGAACACTCTACCAAAAATGAGAGCCTCCTTATATAAGGATCTACAGGGTAGTCGAGCATACTCACTGAAGTAGACGGGGGAGGGGGTATGCAGGGGCTCAGAGTTACAGAACATTCCTGAAGCACAGGGGTGGAGTTAAAGAACAGTCCTGAGAGGGGGCGGAGCTTGACAACCTTCTTATGAGGGGGCAGAGCTTAACAGAACATTCTGAAAGGTTTACACAGTTCAGTCATTAACCATTTTGATACATTGGGCAGGATCCTGGCAGCACAAACTTACATTTCAAAAACAAAACATTATGTGGAAGGGTCAGGGGTTTGGCTCAGTGGTTCCACCACCTGCCTCACAAGGGTAACGGCCTGAGTTCAATCCCTGGTACAAAACAAACAAACATTATGTCGGAAAAAAATGGAGGCAAGACAAGGGCCTGTTTTATTGTATAGCACTTCTCTCTCAATACTTCTTGGTTTTAGAACTTACCACAAAGCTACAGTAATTACAAAATGTGGAACTTTCAGAGGCCAAATGGGATCAATGGAATAAAATCAAAGTCCAGAAATAAACCCACACATCTACAGCCAACTGATTTTCAACAAGGGCACCATCATTCATTGAGTTGACTGATCACCAACAAATGGTGCTCAAACAAGAGGATATCCACATAGAAAAGAATGAAGTTGTACCTTGACTTCATAACTTATACAAAAGTCAACTCAAAATGAATCAAAGACCTAGTAACTAGCCGGGCATGGTGGCACACACCTTTAATCCCAGCACACGGGAGGCTGAGGCAGGAGGATCGCTGTGAGTTGGAGACCAGCCTGGGCTACATGTGAGTTCCAGGTCAGTCTCAACTACATAGTGAGACCCTGTCTCAAAAAAAACAAACAAAAAAGACCTAATAACTTTGAGAGCTAAAACTATAAAAACTCTTAGAACATAAACCTTCATGACCCTAGATTTCATGAGATTCTTAGATATGAAACCAAGAGTATGAGCAACAAAATTAAAAAATAGATAAATTAGATTTCATAAAAATTAAAAATTTCTGGCCAACACAGCAGTGTCCATGCCCCCAATCACCACCATAAACAAGCTTCTCTGAGGCTCCTAGATGAAAATTGAGGCCCACTTGAAAAGTGAAGAAAATCTGTGCAATAAAGGGACACCACACCACCATAGTTGGTAAGTTGGAGAGGCCAGCACCTCACACTGGAACCTGGTCTAACTTCAGGGGAAAGACAGCTGGAACCTACGGTGGAACCTTGCAGAGTTCAACCCAACAGGAGGTCAGAGATCTCAACTTGGGCCTTGCAGACAGAAATCAGCCTGAACTTCAGGGGACAGCTGCTGGCTTGCTGAGACTAATAAACTTAGACCTGCACACTCCTGCCCACACCATCTATTGTGTCAACAGAGGCATACCCTGAAGGAGGCCCTCTATTTCTATTTCTATTTTTTATTTTCAAAGTAGTATTTTTCTCTTATCATTAATCATTTTTAAAAATTTATCTTTTTTCTCAATTTTTTCTTTTCTCTCTCCCCTTCCTCCCACCTTGATCTTCATCTCTCCCTTTTTGTTCCTGTCTCTATTCTAATTTGAATTTAGTTTTCTTTCTTTTCCTTTTCTTCTCTTTTTCCTTCTCTCAATTGCCATTAGTTTTAAAAGAAAGTGATTACAGTCTCTTGCCTCCCTATTGCTGTTAGTTTGTTCTGTTCTTGAATGTATTTTGTTCTGTCTTCTCCTGTTCTCTTCAACAGCTCCCTAGAGTTTGTGAGATCTTCCTGGGTCCTCTGACATCACTTCTAACCTTTATCCTATCTATCGCTCCCTCCCCAACTCCTTCTAAATCCCCATCCTGAAGGGTAAAGTTGCTATATTGAAGAGTTTATTCACTATAAACGTATTTTGGGCTGGTCCT